TCAATCAAGTCACTCGACATGCCTACCATGCTCTGCAGCTGATTCTGCCAGGAGGTGCAGGACAAATGGCACAAGGCATGGCGCGAATTCAGCCGACGCAGCGTTGCAAAATGACACCCCACCCGAGCCCGACGAGGACACCAAGGGCAAAAGGAGAGATCAAGGGCGGCATGAGGGAGAAGCATGACGTACGGCAAAAGCAGCCATGGCAGCAGGGTCGGCCAACATGGTGTTAATGTCGCTCAGCGCTACAATGGCAGATCATAATTGAGGATGGGCCAACAAACACAAGCGCACCAGGCATATGAACCACTTTTAATTTGAGCAGAAGGCGAGGCGCCCAGGCAGCAAGGGGGCATGCGGCATGAGGAACGTACACATTTGGATGTCGCTGCCTTGGACACCCGAGGTGCTATCGTTGGTCAACGTGGTTCAGCAGGGAAGGTGAGCCATGTGCACCCCCACCAGCGCAGCGACGGTGTTCCTCCTTCCCACGCAGGCATGCATGCTGAAAGACATTCGTCAACCACAAACTGACCTGATTTCTTCAACATCTTCGTTGGACGACATGGTGCCGGTCTCACGAATGCACGCACAGACCACGACCAAGAAAAATACGCTCTTGCGCCACAAACCAAAAAAAACCGACCGCGCGGAGAGAGAGAGAGAGTTTGAGAGAGAGAGAGAGGGGTTATGACAACTCGAAATGCAAGTCAAACACGTGAAGAATGGCCACCGTGTTCTTATCACTCAGAACAGTTGTTTTGTGTAATAACACCCTCTTTTTTTCTTTTGTGCCTTTTTCTCTGCGCTGGCGATCCTTGCGTTTGGCTATGGGGGGCAGAGTCCGGTCTGGCTGCCCTTGTGCACCGCCGGCGTGGCGTCGAGCTGCCATTCACCGTTCCAAGTGAACCGCCATGAGACTCCCGAGGCCAATAGTTTTGCTACCATTAATTTTGCCTCAATGATACGCTAACAGTGTGTTTGCCTTTTGCTGACAAGTCCGCGATCAATGGCGTGCCGTCTCGTCTCTGGCCAAGCGTCGCCGTGAGCTGGGGCACGGCGGCGACTTTGGTTCACACCGTCATAAGAACAGCCGGGCCCCGCACCAAGCAAGTCTCCACCAGACTTTAGATCCAGGATCGTCCGTCCAACTCTACCCTCCAGCACCAGTACCAACAGCGTCAAAAAATCACACAAGCCAAAGGCAAAGCCAAAGCCAAAGGCAAAGCGAAAGATGCTGTCATCATCATGAAATTTAGATCTCATCTTGTTTGTGTGTGAATGAAGTCAAACGTTTTAACGTTAAAACGTAATCTTAACGTTAACGTTGGCGTGTTAACGTTAATGTCCAGTCCAGTAGTAGAGGACAGTAGTTTTTGCATGGGGCCGTCTCCGCCCCTCTTGCGCCTGCTACTGCTGCGACGGCTTCTGCGTGCGTCCCACCGTCGGTACGTAGACGTGCGGACGGATGTATGCCTGCTTTCAACTCTTCTCGGATACCGTGTGGTGGTCCTCCCCAGCTTCCTCTTGATTCACACGAACGCGCGACTGCTGGACCGACAGGGGTTTGGGTTGGTCACCCCCCCATCCGGGTTGTTCTTCGTTGAGTGACATCGCCCATCCAGGCCTATCCCGCACGCCCTGTCTCTCCTGTGCGACTGGGGCTTGTCAGTGGTGGTAAAGGGCTTGTTCGACGCACTCTGCTTGAGTCGGGTTCCATCTAGCGCGACGCAACATTCAAACCATTCATCATGGCCTTCACCACGTCCTCCGTGGCGGCCAGTATTAGCAGCCTCAATTCGAGCATTGTGCGCAGCATGTCAGCCGAGCCCATCGACCCAGAAACAGAAATGGCCTCCTGGTTTGTTTCTGGCATGCCTCGAACCGAGGTGCGCCAGATGGCCATGGACATGTTGAAGAAGGGCCGCCCCGGCAACTTTTTGATTCGGTACGTCTCCCTCACTCCTCTTCCTGCTTCCATTCATCGATCCTGTCCCGTGGCGATCGCATGACGAAAAGTTTGCCGTGTGCTCGTGACACCCACAGTGACGTCAAAAGCGAGCCCAACTGTTACGGCATGTCCGTGCGCACCACACAAAACAAGCTCGTCAACTACCTCATCGAGAAGCGCGCCCAGCCACCCGGCTTTTGCATCCGTGGCACCAAGCGCACCTTCCCCACCGTTGCCAAACTGGTCGAGTTTTATGCCCAGGAGAAGCGCCAGGCACTCGGCCTCAAGCTCGTGCCCACGGATCACAGCCAGTTCATGCACGCCTCCTCATCCGATGACTCAGACGACTCGGACCACGGCGACGCCCGCCATCCCCACAAACCCCCCGGCCCCGGCGACTTTGCCCCCGACTCAGATTCGGACGACGGCGACGGCGGCATTCTGGGCCAATCCCAGGAACCATCCGCCATTGGCACGCGTAAGGGCATGTCCGATTCTGAGCGCTGGGCAGCCAATGCTCGCCGTGAGGAGGAAGAATACCAGCGCACCCTCGGACGATCCACCAAGCGCCGCACCTCGCGCCAGGCGCTGTCCACCCACGGCCATGGCGATGATCATACCAGCCACCGCAGCGTTCGGGCCGCACGCCGCTCGGTCGATGATGGCGAAGACAAGCGCGATGCGCGCGACCACCCTCGTGATCGTGATCGCGACCGTCACCGCCACCAGCCCAAATCGCTCCGATCCGTTCGCTCCACCCGTTCTGCCATCAGCACAGCCCGCAGTGTGCACAGCCTGCACAGCGCTCCCAACCACCCAGCCCTTGCGACGCATTACGGCTACGATCCCCACTATGGCGCCCTACCCATGTCCATGCATCCGCATCACCCGGTTCTGCAGCAATCACAGCCACAACTCGCACACCCCGGTCTCATGGGCGGCGCCCACGGTGCTTATCCGGGGGTGGCGCCTTATGGCGGCCCTCGACCCAGCCTCGGCTACTCAGGCTTGCCTCCCAACGCCCAGCCTACGGGCACACAGCTTCGGTGGGTTGTGGCAAGCCACATTTGTTGATGTTGATTGTTTTCACTGCGCGAGTCTTCTGACTGTCTCACGTCACATGTGGCTATCCGTACTTGATCTTTCCCACATCCTCAGAGCGGCCGAGGCGCAGCTGGCCCTCATGCGGGCCGAGGCTGAAATGTATCAGGCCCAGCTACGTGCAGCCGAGACCACACTGCGCCTTCATCAGCGGCGAGCCGAGGATAGCGCTGAGCAGGACCGATACACCGCGCAAGCAAACGCCATCGCCACGGGTGACTTCTCACACCGGGGTAGTACCCACTCGACCACGGGCAGCGCTTCCAACGGCGGCAGCGCCGTTGTGACGGCGTCCGCCCGCGCTCACACGCCAGTCGAGGCCTCCAATGTCACCCCCACGCCCCCGGCCACACTCCCCAGCCCTCATCGCTCAGGCTCGGCGCCCACGTCCATCAGCCGTAATCGCACCCCCGACTCGATGGACCAGGACGCCGAGTTTGACATTGAGCAGCAAACGCGCCTGATCGAAGCAGAGGCCGCGGCACTCACCCTGGCCGTCGAGGACATGCGACGTAGTCAAGAGCACCTGGATCGAGATGAACCGGCCTCAGCCGTCTCCCCCACGTCCGATGATCAGCCCGATGACCCAGACTCCTTCAACAAGTCGGTCCGATTCGCCGACAACCCCGTGTTGATGGCGCGCTCGCCTCGCCCTCTGCGCCGACAGCGCACCCGCGAGACCCCAGCAGAGCAAACGGGATCAGACTCCACCACAGTGACAGTAGACACCTCGGTGGCACCGGGGTCTGGAACGTCTCAGGCGCCCTCAGCTCCCAAGTCGATTCTTATGAACACCACTTCGCCCACCCCCGTGGACGAGAACGACCCAAATCCTGCAGGAGGTGGGCGAAGTGTCCAAGAGCAATTGGCCGTGTACCTGCGTCGACTCGATCAGCGTGAATCGGAACGGCGCGTTGAGTTTGAGGTGCATATCACCGAGATGCAACAGCAGGCGCGCAGCAAGCCGTACAATCAGCGGATCCAGGCAGAGATGGAGATAGATCGGTTGGAAATGCAAGAAATGGAGCGACGCCGTGAATGGGAGCGACACCGCGAGGAGCGCGAGGCGCGTTATCTGGCCAACCCAAAACTGGCCGAGGCTAACCTCTTGCGTGAGAGTGGTGGCGCCCTGCCTAACACGGACGCCGACATGGATGCTGATGACCTAGCCTCGGGGGCTCGCATGATGGGGATTGTTCAGCGTCTTCGTACCAAGTTTCAAGCACCAGCCGAGGATCAAAAGCGCAAGGCCCATGTCATGACCTGGAAGGTGAAGGAAACTGACGTGCGCAAGGCCGTTGTACCCTAAGCTGCCCCATGCCTCTGCATCGAAATGAGCTGGCCCGCCAGCCAGCCAACACAGCCGTTTTGACCCGTTTTATGGTTTTTTTTTTTTTTTTGAATTTTTGTTTTTCGGTTTGTTCCTTTTGATTTATCCTTCTCTTTTGACCCGCATCCCATGCCTTATACTCTTTGCGTGGAGGTGTATTGGCCCATCTATTGCCAAGGAGAGGGTCTGTGTGTGCTGGATACCATGTACGCGTTTTTGTGTCCAGTTGGCCACACACGGCACTCCACATCCAATGCTTTTTGACTCGCCTCAATTTAAAAGTTATCGTCACTGCCTTCTCACTGCTCAAAAAGGATGACAACCGGCGCCGGATGGGGGTCTGGTCTCGTACGTAGCTACATGCTGACCACCATCCCCCTTTTGTCTTTCTCTCTCTATCTCTGTGTGTATCTCTCTGTGTGTGTGTAGTTAGTAGTTGAAACTGTTCAGTCATGACGGGCGGTAGCATGATGGAGCAGGTGGCCGAGTCGACCGCCGTCGGCGTCGGGGCTGGTACGTTGCGTGCTGGTGTGGTGTGGTGTGGAGCATGGGATGTGGATGTGGTGGTGGTGGTGGTCTCTGGTGGTAATGCTGTCATATTGGCTGAGGGGGAGGAACAAGGGCGCGGTGTGGCGGCGACCTTGAATGCGACCTCATGCGCTCTGGGATGGATGGCTCGCTTAGGTGCTTTCTTCGGTGCCGTGGCCTCGGCATGGCAGGCCAAGCCCGTAGTGGGCGAGCGCACTGCTCCTCTCATTCTCAACACGGGTAGCATGATCTCTCGCAATGCCTCCCTTTTTGGTACGTTGTTCGCGTTCGCGCCGTCGGTATTTGCCTGCTGGTGTCCATCCATCCCACCTTCAAGCCAGCCTCTCCCCCTCTTTCTCACTTATCCTCGTTGGATGTCACCGACGGCTTGGCTTGACTCGTCTTACACAGGTGCGGCGGCGGCTACCTATGCCGTCTCCAAGGCTGCTATGACGCAGGTACTGTGCCATTCTTACCTCTCACTCAAAAAAAAAAAAATCAAAAGCCTCGTTGTTCATGCTTGCTTTGAGGCTCAAGTGTATGTCCGTCCGGGCTGTTGTCTAGGTGCGCGAAAAGGACGATGCATTCAGCACGGCCGCAGGCGCATGCGCGGCGGCAGCAGTGGTGACAATGCGCGGTACGTGTTGTTAAAGCCACAGGTCAACGCATTCCCCCACATGTCTCTCTTGATCTTCACTGTGGTCATTTTGGTCCGCGGTGAGACTGTTCCTATCGCTGCAATAACCATCGCACCTGGACGCGTTGTAGGCGGTGCCGCCGTGTCGATGGGAAGCTGTGTGGGTGTGGGCTTCATGTCAGCCATGGCACGCATGATTCAGGATGAAGTTACGGCCAAGCAGGGTGGCAACGTATGTGATGGGATGGCTGATGCTACCGCTCCTCGCAGAAAGACTGGCATTGGCCCTCCATGCTCGGTTGGCATGTCTGGCCTCTGTGCTCGCCTTTGCACCTGCACTGGTTCATGCCGGTCGGGGGTTTTCCTTGTGCTTGTGTGCTGTTTTAATCTTGCTCACCTTCCATCATGGTCTTGCCCCTTTTGTTTAGCCTCAAGAGCATCACTAAACTTGCTATCTTGTCCAATTTGCCGATTGCGAGGCCGAATATCATGAGCGAATATTCTCCGATGCCCGTGCATCTTGTTTCCTTACATGCGCACTTTCCCAGCCAGTTGTCTTCAACCTATTGTCCTTCTCCGGCCAAGCGTGACTGCTTGTGTTTTATCCCTTTTTGATCCCAGCTCAGACAAGACCATGCTTCTCTCCCCCATTTTTGGCCGCCCTGCGTCGGATGAAGCCGCTCCCGAATGTGGATGATTTTCCGGAGCGAGTGAGGGCGTGCCCATGCTTGTTGAGGTTGGCGCAGCAACGCGCCACTAGTTCTTTTTGCCTACACCGCCGTCTTTTTCGGTCCAAATCCATATCCCTCTCTGTACCTTTGCCCTTTCAGCAAAGCAAGGCTGCCACAGCCATCGAAAAGAGCACCCAGTCATGAGCTGTGATGCCACCTCAAGATCGATCTTCGCCCTGCCATGAACACAAACCCAAAAGAGGTAGCATTGGCCACAACGAACCCAGGGGGAAAAAAAATCATGAGGGCAGCGCGGCAAGCGTCATAAATCTGCGTTGCAGGTAAACACCAAACGAAGCAGCAAGACAACAGAGGGAAGAAAGAAGGAAAAAAAAAAGAGACAAGATGTTGTTTTCAGCATGATGACTCGAGAAATGCATGCAATCATGCATCGGAATGCATGCCACACGACCACCTCTCACCCCTCTCACCTCTCTCTCTCTCTCTCTCGATCTGGATCTTGCCCTGGCTAGCGACCTTGGCACTGCACGGCACTGCGGTGGCATGCGACACTTGGGCCTGCGTGAATTTGCCTAGGACCTTTTTTTTTCGTTCCAAATCGGGCCATTTCGACGACAAGGGGTATCATTGTTGTAACGCGTGGATACTGGGCGCTCATCCTTCTTGAGACCATCAGCTGACGGCGGGACTGTCCGAGGCAGCGGTGCTACCGACACGCCTGGCGACGGGCATGAGGTTGACGTCATGGCCCGAGCCAATGTCCGCGCTGTAGCAGGTACGCTGACACCGCCCTTCCCTCGACAAGGCTCCCGGCAGAAACCCCAGTTCTCTTGAGGATTAATCCATCAGCATCACGATTTGCTTGGACAGGGGGCATCGCCTGTCTCTGGTTGGCACTTCTGACGACCAGCCCTGCACCAGTGGGTGCTGCAAGCAAGGTGGTACACGTTGCAACCACCGCCTGCGGTAATCAGTCTGATTACATGCGAGCCCTGGCAAACAGCCTCGTCTATTGGGCCAAGTACGCTTGAGTTGGGGTCGACATGCGCGGCCAGCACTGCCTGAATTGCTCATCCCATTGGCTCGCGCCTCATGTTGCCGCGGCAGGGCCCCTATCGCGATTCACCTGCACATCATCGGTGACGATGTCCTGTATGCCAATCCCATCGATGAGATTGCCACCCCGTCTTTTCAGAAAGATGGCGTCACCTTTCTCCTGCAACTTCACCGAACTTGGTTTCCCCACGACCCGGAACATGACTGGGCAAACTTTTTCCGGCCCTGTGCTGCCCAGCGCCTCTTCTTTCCTCGTCTCTTCCGAAAACTTGACAAGTGTGTGCTGGGCATCCCATCACTTCCGTTGCTGTAGATCTGCCCGACTTGTCGCGCATGTTCACTCCACGCCACTCCACGCCACTTCTGCCTACCCTACTTGCTGAACGGCCGTATGCACCTAGGCTCATTTACGTCGATGCAGACGCCATTTTTCTCGACAACGTTGGCGCACTCTGGGATGTCTTTGATCGGTTTGATGAGACGCAAGAGGCCGCCATGGCAGCTGAAAACGAGAAGGATGGTGAAAGCTGGTACCGTGACATTATCAAGACGGGCCGTCATCCCGTCTACGGTCCTGTTGGCCTTAACTCTGGCATCTTCCTGATGCACCTTGAGCGCATGCGCCACTCGGGATTTATGGATGGCATTACCGAGGCTCGACACAATTACGTTGTTGAATGGGGTGGTCAGTGGCATGCCAATGACGATTGTGATTCTTGACCTACCCAGCTCTGGGCGAATGATTCGAAGATCTTGTTTTTCCCTCAAGTGGCTACGCGGTGTGGCACGCCATCCCTTCACACGATCGCACTCACTTGACGCACGCTTCGCCGATAGACCAGGGTTTGCTGAACGTTTATTATGCCGTCAATCCAACACGGATGTATGACCTCAGCTGTCGCTGGAATTGGCGGTCAGTGTGAGCTGCAACTGCAGCGTCTCTCCGCTGCAGGTGGTCAAGCACATGACTTCGACTCGCTCACGCGCATCCTTTCCCGACACAGAACCGATCACTGTGAGCAGGGTTTGCTTTGTGATGATGCCGAGACCTACGGCATTGGCATCTTGCATGGAAATCGCGATATCTTTCGTGCACCCTGGCGTGTTCTATTTTATGTACGCAGCCCTGCCCCCATCGCACACACCCGTTAGAAACCATTGATATGCTCACTGATGTTTGTGGATGGCCTGGTTCCCAAACCCTTTTTGCTGTGCAGAAAATACATCAATACATGCAACACCTTCCCAATGTGCCTCACTGGAACAGCTTCATTGCTGCATTGCAAAACTCGGTGCGTGCAACACTCGCGCTCTTTTGGTTGTGCGCAGCAATGACAACTACGCCAGTGTCGAGTTGTGTGAGCTCTATGAGAGTCCAACACAAATGCCAGCTCATTGCTCATATCGCAGGATACCTTTGAACAAGAAGAGCGCTGTTACCGTGAGGCAACTGACCGCCTCCTGCGGCCCATTCGCCTTCAAGTCTGAGATGATCTGGCGTTTCCATCGAGACGGGTCAGCGTTCCAAAACCACAGAATACAAAACAACCACACAATACAATCGATTGAGACTTGGATCAAAGGCATGTACAGCGTGGCATGGCTAGCGTAACGGAGTCTGCAAATACGCAGGCAAACAAAAGTCCTCTAGAATTGCGCTCAATCATCCTTGCCCGTAATTTGAGGGCTGAAATTTTTGCGGCAAACGCCGAGTTTGAGGCGCGCATTCGGAAACTAAACCTAAAGGGCGCGCACAAAATAAATCAAGCCGTTTCGCGTCGTGGAATCTTGGCTGCAACGCAGATGCTGATTGCCATTGACGTGGGACCACTGTCCTTCGCCCGCTGAAGCACTGTCATGCATCGAAAATGGGAGCAACCGAGCGAATAAAAACCAATTTCCGCATGAGAAAACAGTTGCAAGTCAAACACATGTTTTGAATACAAAAGGAAGGGCCCAAGCGTACCCGGCGCAATTGACCCAGGCATGCGAGGAAGTGTCGCGCTGGCAACAGATGTTGGCTGTACCAGACTCCCAAGCGGGTCCACGATCGTCGCCACTACCACTAGATCCCACATTGGACCAGCCCGTGCCCGTCCAAGCGTGGTAGGAAAACATTGGGGCACTGAGAATAAAGGAAGCTCGCTCCAGCCGGACGCGGAAGTAGGATTGCTCTCCTGCACAGGACGATCCACAGTCAGAGTTTTGGCCCATGGTGACGTAGGACTGAAAAGGCAGCGTGTTTCCCAGGATCGCTGGCAATGAAAAAAAAAGGAAGAAAGAAAGAAAAAAGAAGAAAAAAAAAAAACGCGGGGTCAGTCGTTGTGGCACAGATCAGGAATTTTGGGGCGTGGATGCAACGTCAGATCAAAGAAACACGGGTATTGCAAAGCAAATCAGAACATACCTGAGACAGTGGCGGTGGAGAAGTGCCAGGTTGTGGCTTCAGTCGGGTCCAAGCTTGGAGTACCAACTGCATTGTTGTCAATCGAATTTCCCCGCGCCACGTAGGTCCACCCACCACCATCGGTTTCCATGTCACCTATTCCACATTGACCCACCCAACAAAACTGCAGTCAGACCGTCCTGGGCTAGCTGCTAGCGTGCTGGCAGTTGAAACAACACTCACACGCACGCACACACGCACGAAAAAAAAAAAAAAAAAAAAAAAAAAAAAGGACCCCTCCCCCCTCAGGCTACACACGTACAGTACACATTGAAGGGGTTCGACTTGGCTATGGGTTGGATCATATAGGTGCCGCTTGTTTGAAAGCCAGCATCTCGATACTGTTCAAGCAGGCAAGGCCACGTGTGAGCAGGTATGAATGTGTTACAATCCGCAACAATAGCATGGTATGCATAGCCATTCATGTGGAAAGGCACGGACCTCTTTGCAACTGCGTCGCACGCTCACATCAAGTGCCGGACGCTAAACGATGTGAAAAATGCAGAGGATTGACCAAGATGATCGAGAAGTTGAAAGTGGTGAGTGCACGCCGAGGTTGTGGCGCAAAACCAGGCGCGCTTGGCTCACGCACCTCACGCATGAACATGATGAGCCCATCGGTGCGATAGTCGTCATACTTGCAGCGCAAATGCTGTGAATGAACAAATCAAGAAGGGCGTTGATATTCACACGTCAATGCCAAAGTAGACACAATCAAAGAAGACACGCTCATGCACATGTACGTACCTGCACTAGGTTGGTGTTGGAAAATTGGCCTACCCAAAGTGAGTGCCCACAAGACAGCGCGTATGAGTCAGCCGGGAGAGAAACTTTTGTTGCTTTTGCAGGCTATCAATGTGAACACCGCTATTGATGTGAACACCCCCACCTTCTTCATTCTGTGCCGCAGGGCCACAGTTGATCCATGCGCCAGAGCTGTTGCGTTCACAACACAAATTGGCAGGGTCATTGGCTTCCCATGTTGGCCCTGTGCATCGCGAGCGATCCCACAGCAAGCGAGCAAAAAAAAAAAAAAAACGAGAGGCAAGATCAAGCCGGGTTAACTGGCTGAACATGGGAAGGGGTTGTCAGTTACAATGGCATACCACGATCCTCGGGCGTGGGGTTGCTGGTGCTTGCTTGGATCCATGCATTTCCGTCCCATCCAAAATACGAGTCCATGGCCTGGGTGAGGCTAAATGGCGAGTACTAGATGTCCAAGGCAACAAGAAAATCACAAGCCACGCCTCATGAGGCGTGGCAGCAGCCATCCGACACTCTTTGCGCCGCTCCCGTACAGAGGAGCAAGCTGTTGTTGGGGTCGCATCCAACCTGGAGTTGAACGCGAAAACTCTCCGGATCATCAACGGCTGAGCCACCATCGTTCTGCTGGTCAATGTCGCCATTGAGGCCGTGGGTGATGTAGAGCTCGTATGCACCACCACTGCTCATCTGATTAATCTCAAAAGCCGACAAATGCCACCTGAAACGCCGTGGAAGGACTGCAGGTGAGAGCTGGACAGGTCAAACACAGTGCTTGCGTGTCGTGGTGGCAAGCGACAGAACGCACACGCCAGAGAGGGTTGGGTCATTGGAGATGGTACCCATGGCAGCGTTGCTGTTTGATGGCCCGCGGGCAATGTAGGTCCAACCGCCGCCATCCGTGGTCATATCGCAGTACAGCTGTACGGGCGACAAGCGATAAGCCAGCTGCACCCAGTAGAGACCTAGGCAAACACATCGAGGTCAAAAGACACAACACACACACACACACACACACACACACACACACACACACACACACACACACACACACACACACACACACACACACACACACACACACACACACACACACACACAAAGGTATAGTAGGCAGCCAAAATGAGCTGATGGGCATGTCAAATTCATAAGCAAGAAACGATGCGATGAATCACAAACTCGGGATTGTCTTGTTCCTTGCATAACGGACCTGAGGCGGTGTGGCCAGCTTGACGAGCTTGAAGACAACTTTTGACCGGCAGCGCGGCGATGAGGCCGGCATCCGAGGACAAGGAGGTGGTGAGAACTTGCTGAATTCCCTCAATTTGGGTTTGTACCGTCGTTACATTGGCTGTGATTGTCTGACGCAGGTCCTCGGCATCCGCTTGAAGATCCTGAATTGCACTGGCGTTGCCGGCCAGGTGTGCCTGGCTGCCTGCCAGGTCGTGGGCAAGCTGGTTGACTGAGCTGGTAAGGGTGGTTTGCATCGGTTCCAGTTGGGCGGTGATGAGATTGGGCACATCGGTTCGGAGCTGTGATGCATTGGCGGTGGCAACCACAGCCAGGTCCTGAATGGCATCGCCAAGGCTTTGATTGACGGGCTCCAGTAGCGTGCTAATCATGACAGGGACGGCGGCCTCGAGGTTGGCGACGTCGCCGGATACGTTCTGGACGGTATCCAGAACCAGGCTGTGCGACAGGGTCACTGAACTGTTGAGCGCATCAAGGCGGGCATTGGTTTCGGAGCTACCCTCCTCAAGTTCAGCCAAGGCCTGCAGCAGGTCTGAGCTGTTGGCACGCGCCACAAGGGCCAGAGTGTCGATCGCGCGGCCCATCTGTGAAGACCAGGTCAAGTCAGGAGGCATGAAAAGCAGGTTTGGACAGCCGATCACATGTATACGCGGGCAGAAGCGTGGTGTCAGCGCTAACCTCGAGCACGCTGCGTGATTCGGTGTCATTGGAGACGAGTAGGTCGGCGTTGACAATGGTCATGGTGTCATCCTCCACAAGAATTTCAGGGAGTTCGGCCTGGACTGGGAAGACGAGGGCACCCAGCAAGACGAAAGCAAGGAGGCAAGCAGAGCTAGTTCTCAACCAGCCCTTTAGGGCTGATTGAGTCGGCGGCATGATTCAACTTCTTCGAGCGTTGATGGTGTCTCCTGCCTGCCGTGCCGTGCCGCACCAAAGCGTACATGTTGTTTCCGTGAGCAAAGCCAGAGAAGAGCAGGACGAGAGCCGCTTCAACCCAGGGGATCATGCCATCACTTTCTTCCCCTCCCCTCTCCTCATTGCTGCATTCACATGTCAATCACCAGCCCAACACCAGCCCAACACCAGCCCCAACAGTCCAAACACCCCCAGCTGGTGCAGGCTCACTTTGTTTTTCAAAAAAGCATGTGTGTGTGATATAAAGGTTCTCTCAGCAAAGCCAACGTTGTGTGTGTGTGTGTGTGTGTGCGTGTGTGTGTGTGTGTGTGTGTTACCGCGAACACCAAAACACAAACATACACATCGCTGTTTCTTTGGAGAGGAAGACAAACTGTTTTGAATATAGTTGGCAAGAAGTGGTGCAGTCAAAAAGAGAGAGAGAGAGAGAGAGAAAAAAAAGAGTGGAATAGGGGTGATCAAAGGGTACAATTAACGCGGCCGAGGGGGTCTTTGCAGGCGTGGGCTGGCCAGACCAAGGGTCAATTCGCCGAGGCGAAGCTGTCGCGCAAAGATGCAGAGTCAAAAAATCCACGCAGAGGTAACGTTTGCGTATTTGTGACAACAGCACTTAGGCGTCACGAACGAAATAGATGAGGCCAGAACGGGTAGTCGTGTCAGTGCTGCAGCGCAGATGCTGATTCAGATTGAGATTAGACCACTGACCCTCTTGGTTGGCAGATGCCCTGGACAAAAAGCATTTGCAAACATGAGGAGTTGCAGAAAGCATGCAATCAGGCCGACAATACTGTCACAGAGATGCAAGGCAGGCTGATCCGCTTTTGATCAGAGAAGTCAGGGTGTACAACTTACCGGGCACAACCCGTCCAAGCACCCGAATCGCTATCGCGATTGCAGCAATAATTGGCTGAGTCAGGCTCGAAACTTGGTCCACGGTCAGCTTGACTACCACTCGAGCCCTGGCTTGACCACATGCTGCCTGTCCAGCCTGAATACGAGAACATTGGTTGCTCTAGGGTGAAGGATTGCTGCTCCAAACGGACACGGTAGTAGGCCTCCTCAGCCGCGCAGTTGCCACCCGTGCAAACTGCATTCTGGCCCATAGTCATGTAGCTGTTGAATGGCAGCTTGTTGCCCACAATGGCTACACAAGCGCAGGGCGACAGAGCGCATAGCCGTGGCCGAGGTTTAGAATTAAAGATCAGGCTAGATGACATCAAAATCCAAGGGAATGGGCAAAACGACCACCTACCCATGATTGTCTTGGCCGACAGATGCCAGGTCGCGTCAACAGTGGGATCGAGGCTGACATCGCCGAGAACATTGTTTGAGATTGACGTGCCACGCGCCACATAGGTCCAGCCGCCGCCATCCGTCTCCATATCACCTGCAAGGCATTGCCAGTAGCGATCGCACCATCGGGAAGTGGGACTGAGGTGAGATTAAAGTTGTCCACTCTTTCTCTCTTTTCATTTGCGTCGTTCCATGGCGGCAAAACGTACAGTAAACGTCAAAGGGGTCTTCCTCAGGAATAGGTTGAATACGATACGTGCCGCTGATACTAAAACCCATATCACGATACTGCAAAGACAAAAGCATGGTAAGAGGCAGAAGCATGGTAAGAGGCAGAACATTCGCACACCTCTGATACTGCAAAAAGCACCCAGGTGGAATCAACCAACAACGACGACGACGACGACGACGACGACGACGACGACGACAACGACAGCAGCAGCAGCAGCAGCAGCAGCAACAACAACAACAACAACAACAAAATATATATACATAAAAAACTGATGTCATCGTGACCTACCGCCTTGCAGCTTGGTTGGAGTTGCAGCTGCGTATGTGGACGCTGCGAGCGTAGAAATGACAAATGCCAAGGAGGCAAAAGTACAAGATGAAGTCTCTCCTAGACCTGAACGATCAGGGCACCCCCCGCACATCGCCTCGCCTGCAACCACACTGCCTTGCCGAACATATTTGTGGGAACATACCTCACGGAAAAACATGATCAAGCCATCGTTGCGATAGTCGTCATACTTGCAGCGCAAATGCTGAACAAGACACACATACACGCACACAATTAAAAGCACAGTCAAAAAGAAAAAAAAATGAAACAAGGTTCAGCAGATTACCCATTTAACAACCAAGGCGTGTTGGATCAAGACACCGAGAAAAAAGCTGGCACCGTGCGCACAGCAAGCAAGCTCGGTGGTCAAGCTTGTTGCTTTGGAATGACATGTCTCACCTGATTGAGGTTGACATTGGAAAATTGACCTAACAGGTAAACCACATCAGAATAACCCAAGGCGAATGAGAGTTGACGAGCGAGTGCCGCTGGCAAAAGTCACAGCACCCACCTTCTTTGCGAATGGGCGCAGGTGCACAATTGATCCACGCGCCCGATTCGCTTCGTTCACAGCACAAATTGCCCTGGTCATAGGCTTGCCATGTAGGGCCTGTGACAACAAGTCGCCGCCAAGGGCACGAGGAATATGAGATTCATGCAGACACAAACAAAGTGGGGGCGCTGTTGCCAATTTAGGGCCATACCACGATCGCTATAACGATGGGGATTGGTATCGTTGTTCTGAACCCACTCTGAGCCGTCCCAGGCATAGTACAAATCCATAGCCCGCTCAAAAGTGAGGGGCGTAAACTATTGCCAAGCGCGCACCAGTACATTAAACAAGGTCAAAAAACCTCCTCCCTCTTTTTCTCACTCTCTCTCTTTCCTGATTTCGTGCCCGTTTGCCGAGCAAGCAAAAAGGAAATGGCGAAGAGGAGGATCAAGGCAATGGCGATGCAAGTTGGCGTGGCGCTTCACACCTGCAATCGAACGCGAAAGCTCTGAATGTCATCGACGACTGAGCCTGCGTTTGGGTTACCGTTATATTCGTTGGTCGTGTTGATGTCGCCATTGAGACCCTGGCCAATGTACAGCTCGTAAGCATTGTTTCCAACAATGGCGTTGATCTCGTCCGTTGAGAGTTGCCAACTATGGGTGAAAGGCAGAAAAAAAGCCATGCGCGTGAGCTACAAGGAGTGTTCGGCACCCAGGAAAACTTGCTCCGTGTCATGCATACGAGCGGCGCAGGCAGCAACGCCACGTACACGCCTGCCAGGGTGGGGTCTTGGGAAATTGATCCAGTGGCGCCGTTGCTTGTGGCGGGCCCGCGAGCAACGTAGGTCCAACCGCCACCGTCAGTGGTCATATCGCAATACAACTGCGTTGGTTCAAGGCGCCGAGCGAGCTGCACCCAGTACACGCCTACACGAAGCAAGTGCATCAAGTTAGAGGCTGTGTCAAAAACGCCAAAGGCAGTAGGGCTATGGTATGAGAGTACCAGAAGATCGATGGCCAATTTGACGAGCGTGCAGGCAACTGCGGACGGGCAGGGAAGGTAAGAGGCCAGTATCAGGGGTCAGGCTCTGCATGGAAGCCTGAAGGCCTGAGATCATGGTCTCGATGGTCGAGATGTTGGCAGCCAGAGCGGCCCATAAGTCGGCAGTATCGCCTTGCAAGTCTTGAATGAGAGAAGAGTTGCCCGCCAGGCCCGCTTTGAGAGCCCCAAGGTCTTGGGTCATTTGAGCGAGGGAGGTGGTCAGCGCGTTGTTTACTGGATCCACTTGTGCAGCCACCATGTCGGGAATGTCGTTGCGGAGCTGGGTGAGGCGGGCTGAGACGTTGCCGGCCAGAGCAACGAGAGCTGCGGCCACGCTTTCGTTTAAACTGTGCACTTGCGTGGCCACCATAACAGGGACGGCGTCGCGCAAGTGGCCCAGATTCGTTGAGGTGTTAAGCTGCAGCTCGGTCAAGTCGGCTGTCAGCTGGTGCAGCGATGCATTGACCGCTTTGAAGTTTTGTTGGGCTTGGGTCTGCTCCGCTAGCAGCTGGGCGGCAGAAGCGCTCAAGTTGCTGAAGTTGGCGTGCAGCTGCGCAGCAAGTGCATCGACTTCGCGCCCCAGCTGCCGATTGAGTCCCCAAACCACATGCACAAAATAACAAGACAAGAGCGTGAGTCACGCAGAACGAGAAGCAGAACGAGAAGGCAGCAAGGATGGCGTGGTGCCAAGGAGGATGGATGTCATCGATGGAGGGTGCGGAGAGCAAACCTGGAGCACTTCGCGGGATTCTTCACCATTCACCACCAGGAGCGGTGAGTTGGAGATGGTCACAAGTCCATCTTGGACCTCCATTGTGGGCTCATTCCCGTGTACCAACAAACACGGCAGCAGCAGCAGCGAGAAACAAACAAGCAGCCACGGGCCAGCGGTCCCCGCCGCGCCAGGTCGGTGCCCAACGCCGGTCTTCATGATGCAGAAATACTCAAACGCAAAAAAAATGAGAGATGTCGGCAAAACACACACACACACACACACACACACACACACACACACACACACACACACACACACACACACACACACACACACACACACACACACACACACACACACACACACACACCTTCACTCATCCCCTACCCATTGGCTTTTCTTGTTGACAAAATGTTCCCGCCAAAAGTCTCTCTCTTCCTTTGTGTCTTTCTCTCTTTCTCAAACCGACCAAACCAATTCATTTCTCTCTCTCTCTCTCTCTGTCTCTTTGCTGTTTTGAGCCGTTACGTTCGTTTGGAAGGGGAACGTACAGAAATCGAGCGCTGCATGCATTTGCACACACGCGGTCTCAGCTGGCACTGGTTTGACCGGAGGAAGAGAGACTGACCGCGTTGCGATTATCGCACCGTGCCTTCTCACATGTTGCCTCGGCGTTGCGTCGGTCCGGCGGAACGCTCGCGAGTTGGTTTGAGCTCAACGGTCATGTGATTGAGAGCGTCGTCTGTCATGAGCCACCAGCCGCGCAGAAAGCGGGCGCGCTGGGCGGCGCTGCAAACGGTGCGCACGGCAGACAGCCGAAGTACTGCGTTGCCTGCAGAGAAACGAGCCCTCCGCGACCTTAATGATGCAGATCCCATCGTATCGACAACGCCCAGCAAGCCAACGCTTGAAACCCGCATTAGTCGCCGCTCTGCCTCTAGCGTCGCTGCTCTCGCAAACACCACCAGGATACCCGGCCTACTCCCTCACACCGCTGAGGGAGTAAAACGACATGACCCGGTATCTTTGGAGCCGGGCGCTCGCCCGCGCTCGCCTGCTTTTGGTGGTGGCCGGGCTCGAGGTAGACGGCGCAAGCCGTTGGCATCCACCGCTGAGGCTGCTGCCTTGATTGCGCGCGGCCCGCTGGCTCGCCGTCCTCCTCTTGACCTCACGCGCCCATCCAACGCGAACACCGCATCCGCTGGACTCGGGCCTGCCGCAGAGAACTCATCCATGACACACCAGAGCCGCTTGCCTTCAAACACCAGCCCGACACCCACAGGCGACAATGCGGTGGACCCTGCTCTTTTGCCAGTTTCTTCGCCCTCGTCGCCTCCCCTGACAGCACTTTCTTCTGGACCAGTTCAGGCCATTCACGAGTCCATCCCGCAGGAAACTCAGCCCCAGGCCGAGACCGCGCCCAAGCCCAACCACGACGAAGGCACTTCCACAACACTCATCTCGGTCACTCACCGAGGTGCCTCACCCCCACTCATGACCCCAGCGCAACGCATCAATGGCCACAATTCCCCGCCGGATCAACTTACTGTAGCATGTCCTGCCTTGGCTGACACTCAAACCCCGTCTCTGCGCGCTGCCAAATCCCCTTTTGACAGCAATGCAACCACATGCGCTGATGGCTCGAGCTCCTGTTCCTCACAAAGCAGCACTCCGCTTCCCACTCTGGACACCGGCCTTGAGGACGCCGAGCCACGCTCAGATGCAGAGGCGCAAGCCCAGCCAGTGCTGTCATCAGCCGTGCAGGCAATCGGTGCAGCCAGTTTCCACACAGATCTGCCCAACGTGAAACCGGGCATGCACCCCACTCCGAATCACGGGGTGAAGCCCGCCCCGGATCCGATGCCCGCTTCTTTGACGGCGCTCACCGCTGCCAGTCAGCCTCTGCTGGACAGCCTGTCTTCGCCCGTGCGGCCCAGGCCACGTGCGGATAGCCAGCTGAGCACAACGCAGATTCTCTTTGGAGAGTCACAACCGCTGGCTGTCAGTGAGCCTGCGGAACCACCAAAAGATCTTGTTCCCGAGGATCAAACTTGCCCCACGCTAGAGCTTGCACCCACTGAGCCCATGCAACCTCTCGACGGCACCCCAACACAAGCCTTGGTCCCTCTGCCCTCAACAGCGCCGCATTCGACCCTGCCCTTGCCCTCTGTCCCAGCTATGGGGTCCCCCACACAGCTCCTACACCCCGCAACAGAATCCGAGCGGAGCCAAGATGGTCGGGCTCACAAAGTTGCCTATCGCGATGAGCCAAACCACGCACCACCCACAACCCTGGCCCAACCGAGTCTCAGAACAATCTCACTTCCCGAGTCATGGCGGTGAGTGAGCAGTGCTCAGCACCTCGCCGCTTCAGCAGCCACGGCGCATCCTCGCTCACACTTGACTACCATACGCGCCTTGCTTTAGGCAACCACGCATGGTCTCCACGAAGCAGCCGTCACAGCTTCAACTTGCGCCTAGCCTTGTCGATCAGGTGCGACGAAGAGAAGGCCACTTTTGCTGACCTGTCGGGTATTGGCGTGCAGTGCTGACTCGAGGTGATTTCCTTCCATGGTGCGCGCGGGTTTGTGAGCACAGGCATACCTCTGCGAGGAGCATGTTGTGTGCCAGGCGTCAGTACAAGTAGGTGTACACTACTCCTTTCTTTTTCTTGCCATTCGCTTAATATTAGGCTGATGGGCATGCTCACGGATGCCAATAGGGATGGTTTCTTTTGGTGCCTCTGGCTACGCTCAGCGGGGCGACACATGACAGCCGCGCACATCTCTTGACCGTGCCCGGCCTTGGCCAGAACACATCAGCCCACGTGGCTGCTCATGGGGCTCATCTCGCCGTTCTGAATACCCAGTCGGCCCAGTCATGGTGCGCTTCGCTGCTGGTAACCAAAGATGTGCATGTGCAACGCTAGCATTTTCACCTCTTGCTCACCTGCTCTTGCCGATAGCGTGGTAAATCTCGGGTCGATGGAGGCACGACCCCTCGCCTTGGCAGACGCCGAATTGCGCGACCTTGACCTCTGGCATAACGTGAGCCAGGGCAACTCAGAACCTTGCCATCATGCTTGCGCACTCCTGGACGGGCACCTTCTCGTTTGCTCTTATCAGCCCACTGCCATGCAATGCCATTTTGAGTGGCGATCGAGGTATGGCGCTGACTTCAGGGCGTATGATTCACTTTGCTCGGTACGCTCTACGTCTCAAATCAATGCTTGCCCTTGAACGCTTGGCCACCTATAGCTCGGGCCGTCTGTTGGCGCGCCGCACTGTGGCTTGCCAAGGCGAGACGCTGAGCGTCCAGGCGGTGAGTGTGGCCCGTGTTTGGAGAAGCTGCTGCAGACTCGGAGATGACACCCTTGCTCAGCCACTTGAACTCTCAACGTCTCGACCTTAGGCATGGGAATCACAGTCCACTTTTTTGGTGGCTCTGTGCACGAATTCTGACCTGGTTCTTCTGTACGTTTTGCATTCCCAAATGCTTCTCGCACTGCTTATAAAGTGGTGCAGCTTGGTGAGTGAGCTCTTCGTTTGTTCCTTCGTTGACATTTGGAAACATTTTAGGCGGCTTGATCAACGCAACGAGCACGTTATTTCCGTGGAGCGCACCATGGCGATTGAACACCTCGATGTCCCAGAAGTGCAGCTTGAGGCTTGGCGCCTCGGCGGTATAGGTGTGGTAGGTTGCCTTGAAGGCGAATTTCAGTACAGGAATACAGCCCGTCCTGCCCTTGGGTATATAGTCGCGGCTCATGGCGCATGCAATCCATGAACTCGTGTAGAGCAAGGGCCAAGCCCAAGTTTGGTTGCTAGTGGAGGTGGATTTGCGAGGACAATCACAAAGTGCACTATTGGGATTAAGTTTTGGACCAGAAGAAGCAATGGATCTGCAAATGCATTTGCCCGAGCCTGTTGTTACTGCGCCGTGGCTTAATGTGGGCTTGGATGCAACCTCAGGCAATCTCTATACTCTTCGCAAGGTAATGCGTGGGCATCTCGCGCACCTCACCGGAAAGCCCCCACTCAACCAAAGTCGCACCGCTTGCTTGCTCGCTGATAGGATGGGGTGGTTGCTGTGTTTGATCCTGTCAAGCGAACAAGCCAAATTGTTGCCCAACTTGCAACCAGTAGGTACCTGGCGAAATGGCGTGGCCACGCTGTTTTTGCTCGCTTTGCCGAATTTTGATATGCCTTTTTATGATCCTGACCACGCGTTGGCATTTTGCTTTGCACGACAGATGCGCTACCCACCGGTGCCTGGCAGTTGCCAGACCACCCGCTTCAGTGCTCTAGTCAAGTTGTCCTCGTGCCACCTACCCAGCCGGGTCTACCAGCCGTGCTGGTCATGTTGGACCCAGCACCTTTTAGCAATGCACCATGCATCACCAGACGTTCTTGATTTCATGAAAAAAAAAAAAGAAGAGAAAGAATAAGAAGATTGCATTTCTGACCTCAAGGCACCTAGGAGGCAGTCTTCTGTCCCATCCGAGCGTTGTTGTGTGATACATGAAAAATAAAATGATCGAAATGAGAGGCAAAGCGCTATGAAGACGAATTGATTCGATGGCAGTCAAGGTTTGTCTTGTCAGAACAGTTCAATTTTGTTTATCATGAAGCATGGTGCAAAGTTTATCAACAACGAGAATCAGGTCAGAATGCAAAACAGCCAGTAGCGTCGGCTATCAAGTCTATTGCTGTCGTTCACTGTTCGACAAGGACGCGTGCAAACAAACGAACTCTCCATGCACAAAGGCCCGATAAAAAAAAAAAACTCAATCAAAAAAAAAAGGAGTGGGTGGTCGAACAAAAAAGGACGAGAGGAGTGAAACGGAGTCAAGAATCTGATTGTCATGTGAACAAACCAGGGCCACACGGCAAAGAGAGAGCTGGGATGAGAAGTAGTCAGCTTATGGAGCGAAAACAAATGGAAAACAGCGTTGTCCAAAGGCCAAATCAATCCGCCCGCTAGACAACACGGGCACTCTTTTTTTCGCGGGGAGGTTTTTCTCTTTCTTTTCCTGAGTCAAACAATGTTGTTTATTCGGCCAATGCCCCCATCGCCGATGGTGCAGCAGATGCTAAGTAATGGTGAAAATGCAAGGTGCATGAGGCACGGCTTCGATAATGGAAAGAGGGTTGGGGAAGGCACGCGATGATTAGAGCGCTTACCTTTGCGAGCGCCAGCATCAGCGCGGCTGGATTTGCGACGCTGTAGGGTGAGCATTTTAATGTTTTCCGTTAAGTCGGCGTTGAGCAGGGCCCCGACATCGCGGATGGCGGAGAGCTCAATCTTGTGTTCGGCCATGAGAAAATCGACGGCCTTTTTGAGCTGTCGGAAGGTGGGTCGGCGGTTGGGCTCTTTGATCCAGCAAGAATAAAGCATGTCCCAAACATCGTCTGGGCACTCCTTGGGCTGACTGAGGCGCCGCCCTGCAATGACTGCTTTCATAACCTGCTTAAGTTCAGTTCCATGATACGGCTGGCGGCCGTACGCCAAAATTTCCCAGACTGATTTTGGCATTGCCAGCAGCACCAGGTGAGAACATGTCGAAGGGTAAAAAAAAAAAAAAAAAAAAAAAAGACCAAGAAGGAGACAGGTGGGACGCGGGCGAATTACAGGGCAGGGGCGACAAAAGGGCACGTACCAGTGACGGCAAAGGACCAGACGTCGCTCTTCTCAGAGAAAATTTTGTACTGAAAGGCATCAATGGCAAGCCAGCGAATGGAGAGCTTCATGACGCCCTGCTGCTTGTAGTAGTTCTTCTGGTTGTCATGGGGTCTCGTCAAACCAAAGTCAGCAATGCGGATCGAGCTGTTGGGACCGAGGAGGCAATTGCGGGCAGCCAAATCCATGTGTACAAAGTGCTTGGAGGCGATGTATTGCATGCCGCTTGCCAGTTGATTGGCCATGTGCAGCTGCTCGCCGAGGTTCAGCTTGATGTTTTTCCGTCGGAGCGAGCGCAGAACATCACTGAGATCACCATATTGGCAGTATTCGAGAACCATCAGCATGGGTCGCTTGTTGAGGACAACACCGCAGAGCGAGACCAGATTTTCGTGTGCGCCGATTTGGAGCATGGTTTCTGCCTCACGCAGAAACTCATCTCGATCGTTGTCGGAGGCCTGGCCACGCAGCATTTTGACAGCACGCAGCTCGGGTTCGCCCTCGACTTCGGCCCCATCAACAGAGTATTCGCTGAGGTAGACCTTTCCAAACTGACCAGCACCAATGGCTTTGACGGCCTTGAGGCTCTTGCGTGGCAGCTGAATGGCAGCGAGAGCAGAGCTTGACACGGCTTCCCGCTTTTTGCCCAAGGCCCGGAAAGGGTTGCCCACACGGTCCTTGCCAATCTGCACAGTTTTGTTCATAGCCTCGGTCAGCTGGTCAGCTTGATTCTTGGGGCTGCGCTGGCACACAAAGACATGGCATTCGTTGTCAGAGCGGCGGTCGTCGACCTCGATGTAAGCAAAAGCATCGCCCTTTTTCAGCTTGGTCGTGCAATGGAAGGATACAGCCTTGACGAGCGTGTTGAAAAGCAGTTCTTTTGTAGCTGCGTCAACCACGCGCACGCCCTCGGCGGAGAAGACGAGGCAAACACGATGACCATCCGTCGCAGCGAGGTCTTTGAACTTGGTCGGCTTGCCGCGAACCTGATCGGCCAAAAGGCCCATGGCGTGCTCGACAGTGTTCTGTCCCGAATGATCAGCGGCATTGATGGTGCCCACGTAGTAGACGTGGCTGAGCCAGAACGGCTGCTCGTCGTCGTCGTCGTCATCATCATCATCATCAACGTCCGCTCCCTCGTCACCTTCCTCGTCTTCTTCATTCTCCTCAGCAACGCCGCCCAGGACCTTGGTCTCTCTGGACAGAGCTTGGCGATCCTGCAGGAGCTCAAGGGCATCTGCTGCTTCGCGAGCCTTGCCAAACTGCAGCAGGTAGGTGTAGACCAGGCCTAGCTTGTGATGAACAGCAAAGACGGCCAGCGTTTTTCCCCCGCTGATGCAGAAGTGCTGGATCATGGGCATGGACTCGTTTTCATACACGAGGCCATCCTCGGCCGGATCCGCAATACGGAGACCAATGGTGGAGATCATGGCCGAGGCCTTGACGGTCACAATCTTGTTCTGCTTGAAGTATTCCAGGGCGTTGCTGATGAGGGCTTCCGCGTTTTGGGCAGTGACGCCCGTGCCCTCGACCAGGGAGGGGCAGCTTCCAAGAAACTTGCAGCCAACAGTTTTGGGCTTGATCCGCTTGACCTCATCAACGGCATCTTCAACCGTGAGGGAACCTTGCTTGACCATTTCCATGATGAGCTTGCGTTGTTCCTCATCCATGGCCGTGAGTTCACCCATCCGCATCATGGTCTTGTGCTTCATCTTGTCAAAGTCAGGCAGCTCGCCTGCCGGCTTTGCCATGATGCCAGTTGCTCTGCAGACGTATCAGAAAAAAAAAGAAGAAAAAGATCAGGTGTCCACCGTCAGCGGTCTTCTGGCGATTTGCCGCTCAGACGTTCAAGGGCTGGCACAATGGCAGCAAAATCAATCGCGTTTTCAGCAGAAATAAAAAAAAGGGGGGCGGAGGTCAAGGCAGGGGCGGAACAAGGTTGCTCGAAAACAATCAGAGCGGCCCATGGAAAGATGGCACTACCGATTCAAAGCATGCACACACGCGCGCATGCACACACACACGCACATGCATACAGACACACGAACATGCACGCCTTGACCGGGCGGGAGGGAGGGATTTGACCGGGAACACACACCTGTTTGCACCAAACCGAAAGTCAATCCTCGATTCGAATCGGGCGAGCGGGCCGTGTTCAGCTCACACCCTGAACCGAGGTCTACAACATTGAAAAAACACAAAGACAAGCAAGCCGATGAATCAGACCCCTGCACGCACCATGACCATCCCGGCCCACCCCTTTCCTCTATCCTTGCGCTGCCAAAAGATCCCCCCCCCCAAAAAAAAAAAAAAAAAAAAAAAAAACCCACTTGAGAGCGGTAAAATGAAAAAGTTATTTTTGTCAAGAGAAGAGAGATGATATTGGTTTGGAGAGAGAGAGAGGAGATGAGAGATGAGAGAGCGGACGGGAGGATCATTCCGCACGAGCTGTCTTTCCTCTTGTCAACTCTCTCTTGTACCTTAGATTGGAAATGAGTAACCTTCCTTGTTGTTCTCTGATTGTCAGCAAAAAAAGCAAAAGAAGCAAACAGGCACCAGCAGGAGCGGAGGGGTCAATTATGATATCGGTGGGGTCAACTTGGGGTGTAGGAGCAGAACTGCTCATGTGAAATTAAAGGACATCACAAAAACATCAAGAGGGGGCGTCGACCAGCGACATGGCAGATGGAATCAAGCAGAGCAATGCGTGCCAAACACTGCAAACACTGTTCCTAGGCCGCCAAATCGTCGGCCAAGGGAGGCGGCGAGGCGGCCGGAGAGGCGTTCATCTCTTGGATGGGCTCGATGCGCGAAATGTACCACTCGGCTACCCTATGGTGGGGATATGAGGGTACCGCCAATGCGTCAGAAGATCAGGGGTTCCCCCAGCAAAGCGTGCACAGGCAACAAGCAGCAGGCAGCCAAGGCAACACGACTAACCGACTCGGTAAGCCAGCGGAGCTGAGCTGAGTGGCAAGGGATACGGTAACTTCAGACACTGCACAAGTGGGTCGGCAAAGTAAATTGGACACAAATGAGATGAGGCCTAGGGTCGCTGTGACTGCCGATGCGAGTGGGGCACGCGCACAGACATACAGCTAAGCTGGCGTCGAGCGCAGTATCGACCATGCAGCTGGCATCTGGCAACCGGGAAAGAAAACATCAAGCGGTGAGCAGTAGGCAAGCGTGTAGGCAAATGCACAAGGGTCAAACCAGCATTCCAACGCATCCTCCGGGTTGGATCAGCATGCACAAGAGTGTCTCATGGCGGGCCTGGAATCACGTACAAAGCTTGATGATGGAGGCCCCGCGTGCGAGGCTGACCGCAATAATTATGGAGCAGCAGGACATGACTCAAAAACGTCTATCGCCAACAGTTCCAATGGCAACCCCCAGACGGGGACAGGATCAGAGCGCGGGCCATGACCGAAACGGAAGACCCTGGGGCAAGCGCACCGCTACGCGAGTCGATGGAGCCAGCGAGTCACTTCAACATACCGTCAGGCGATCGGCGAGGCGAAGCGCCAGCTTGGACACCAAGCTCTCGGGCAACGTCTCCCCTACAAAACCATCATGGTCATGTGCTTGCAATTGTTCTCTACCAGCCAAAGGGGCAGGGAGGAAGGTCGGGGTGAGAGATGTGGAAGCTGATGGAGAGGTCCGAGAAAGTCTGAACGTGTTGTGATTCCTCTATCCCATCATTACGGCAAAATGAGCTTTGCAGGCACAAACCGTAGAGTCGGCCATTGCCGGTATATTTCTAGTCGTAATGCGTCCTCGAGCAGGGGAAAGGGCCCTCGGGTCCGCACGTGGTCAGGGGCCACCGTCTCCGCCGCCGTGCTAAAAAGGTACTGCATTCGACCATAGAGTCCAGATGAACCAGAGCAATGGCAGTCTGTGTCCCAAACCAGGTCAAGACAAGGCCAAACGAATGCACAGATGGGCATGGTACAGCAGCAAACCGGACTGACGCGCTCAAAGGCAGTAAATGGTTGCACGCTCTTGGCGAATCCCTCCTCATTGGGCAGCCGACTTTCACCCACATCCAGGTCGGCAGCCAAGTCGACTTTGGACAGCGCCCCGGGTGGGGCGGCGCTTGGGTCATTCCAAGCGGAAACGGCAAGAGGTAGCGCATAGGTTTCCATGATGACGCTGGGCGCGCTCCGGTGGGCAGAGGCCTCGGCTGCTAGAATACTATTGTAATTGTATGCATCGCGGCGGAGCTGGCGTCGGCTCCGCTTGGCAGGCTGCGGCTCGCGAGGCTGCCCGTCCACAGGCTGAACCTCCTGGGCCGACAACAACTCGCTGCTTTCGTCTTCACTTGCGCTCTCCACATCCTCACGCCCACCAAGATACCACGCGCTGTGAGCAGCCTCCTCATCCCGCTCATCACGCTGGAAAGGCGGCAAGCTGTCCTCATCGCTTTCCACCCCGCGCTCACTACCCGACATGCCACTTGCCCTGTCCGAACCCAGCTCCCGCCCCTGGAGCGCTTGCACCCCAACACCCACAACCCCTTCTCCTCCACTCGCCATTGCCCTTCTTTCCTCCGCGGCTCCTCTGCATCAAACCCCTTTCCCCCCCCCACCCAAATGCCACCGCCACCGCCATCTTCCAGCCAAAACGACGAATCGAACCGTCTGACATTAAAGTCTGACATTGAGCGTGTGTGTGATTTTTTTTTTTTTTTTTCTGATTTTTTTTTTAAAAAAGTTGGGAGCGATGGCGGCAACGGTTCAGGTACTGTATCGCTGACGCGATTGGAGTGGGGTGGCGGGCTCGTGCGATGGTTGTGCGGCTGCGCTACCGCATGGCAGATTGAAAGGGTGCTTGGGGTAGAGACGGTGCTGACTTTGGGTCTCGTTCGCGCTCTAATCCGATGCTTTGGGGCTGTGCAGGGCGCGATCTTGAACGTCCTGCATCTGCTGGAATTGCCCCCGGATGTGCTCGTGCAGCAGTATCATGTGCCTGCCGCGGCCGTAGGCCACGACGAAGCGTCAGTCTCGCACCCCGGCGCAGCTTACCCATCACCTCCGCCATGCCGATGCAAGCACAGTTGACTCATCGGGACCTGCTCGACAGCGAATTTCTCGCCAAACCCACGTCGCAGGCCGTTTTTGCCGTGACCTATGCTCTGTTGCACAAACTCAATCGCCAGCGCGCCCGCCAGCTTTTCCGGTCTGCCACATGATTGCGCAGGATGCTTGATGACCTCGCTTTACTGCTCCTTGCCTTGGTCCTGCGGCCCTTGGGCTCCATATCCTCATGTTTCCTCCTCTCCACCCACCGGCTGCCCCAGCAACTGTTGGCCCATGCTCGACCGCAAAGCCGAGTCTGAGTTTCGCCGTGCCTGTGGAACATGGATCGCCGAAATAGCGCAGGAACATCCACACTGTGGCATCGAAGCCAATATTAGCAGTGTCATTCACGCTATATCAGGTCAGTGCGATGTCAACGCCCCCATCCTGCATCCGCATCACCAGTGCCGGCCTTCCACTCATCCATCTCCCTTGTATCCACTGTAGGATCAAGATTGCTCATGTTGCTCCTTAAACTCGCCACTTTTGTGCTGGGGGCCCTCGGTCAACAATGCTTTGGAAGCAAATTCGTCGTGTCTGAGCCCCTGCCCTCACTCTCTGGCCTCCCCGATTATCAGCGTCAGGTCAGCCCGTTTCCACGTCGAGCCTCCGTGCCGCTCATGTATCTCCGCCTCATGCCGAGGCTCAATTTCTGATTTGCGTACTGTTAGGCCGCTATTGAAGCACAGCACCGGGCAGCACAGGGTGCTTGCAAGGCGTAAGACCTCTCGATCCTCGCCATCGCACCACGAGAGGAACAGAGCGAAGCTCAGCCTTGGCCCACCTCGTCCCAATCATGGAACATTTAGTTCCTGATACTGATTTGCTTTTTTTTGTTGCGTTCAGCGTTGGTCGCCTGGCTTTGCAGGCGGCTGCCGTCCATGAGGACTGTCGTCAGACAGCGCAGGCCCTGCTCAAGCAGCTCGGGTACGGTCTTGTGCCACAGCCTGCAGGCGGGCCACACACCGGTCACATCTCCTCCCCCCTGCCGCTTCCTGATACGCGTGCCATGCATACACTGTGATAGGGATCTGCAAAGGCAAATTGGCGTGATTGAACGACAGAAGGACGCCATTGCTGCCAGTGAAACTGGCGGGCACCGTTTTGCTTATGACGCTAGTCGCCTGCGCACCATCCTACAAGTTTCATCCCAGCACTGGTCCCAACTTGTTGCGTTCAACGACGATACTGGTCTGTGCACTGGTCCTGCCCTGCAGCGGTCCTTGTCACTAATCTCATCGATGGAATTGGTTCCTGGCATTTATAGAGGGCGCCCGCGAAGCTGTTCGCACCATCACCAGCGACCAACGGCCAGAAGTGTGTCTTGACGGACACCAATACGAAGCGCCATTATCGCCCAAACTACGGGCCTACTGTCAAGCAGATATCAATGCAGGTACACGGCAGTGCCCCGGTGTAGAAGACACCCCGCGCCACTGACTTCCCTTCGCCTCACCGTGTGCCAATCTACATCTCTGCTGCAACGACAGGACGGCTACGACCATCCAAACCGGCCGGTGAGGATCTCGATTTGCAAGCCCTCTTACATGGTCTAGCCACCATCTTGGAGCGCCTGAGGCAGACCAGCCAGGAGCACCACGATGGCGTATTTCGACGACAGCTTGAAGCCTTGGCTCAAGCCAGCGAGCGGGTCGTGACGAACAACAAGGTCCAGGCCGCTGCGTTTCAAGGTCGGGTGTCCCTCTGGCCGCCACCAACCCAGCTCAGATGACTTGTGCCTGTGATGCTGGTGGTGAATCGTGTGTTCACGTATTCTTGCATGGCCCATGCGGTGGTAGAACTGCGAGAGCAACTGCAAAGCCGACTGGCTGAGCGGCGACACGAGCATCAGCGCCTGGCCAGCATGTTCACACCTGCCACGCCACGGGCCACCCAACAGTTTGCTGCATTGCGCAATCTGCGCTCCCATGGTGGTCGGCGCCATGTCTCCCAGGCCCAGCAGCTTGATTCCTCGTTGCATCAAGCACCTGCCGAGCGGAGTCTGGCCGAGACCAAGCTCATGCAACCAACCGAACCTTCATCCCCGCGCGCCTTCTTGTCGGCCATGCAGCAGACAACACCACGTTCCCTACGCAACGATCGCTCCTTACGAGTCCCGACACCTCGCTCCGTTCAAGACATTCTTCAACAGGTTTGTCCTTTCCTTTTTTCCCCTTTTTTTTTCCTTTTTTCCTTTGTGTTTGATTTGAAAACTGACTTTATGTGGCCAACGTGCGTCATCACATGATGATTGATTTCTTGGATCATAGGCCTTACACGAAGAGGACAGACCGGAACCCATTACTAGGCCAGAGCCTGTGGCTCAGAGCCAGAATAGACAACCAAATGTCGCTCGTCAGAGTGCACCCGTGGACACAACCCCCTCTTCTTCTCCGCCCATGCGGAAAAGCTCAAACCCCAGTCAGCCAGCACCATCGCGCGTACCCAAGCCCATCTTTGCCCGCGACCACACGGCCCAGATTGAACAGGCACCATCACCCGGAGTGGCTGCTCGAGCTTCGACGCGTGGTAACACAGCTCAGACTCCCGGCTTGTTGGCCGCACCGCAACCGCGCGCTGATCCTCTCGATGACCTCGCTTCTCGAGTTGCCCAGTTGATGCAGGATGGGGATGACGAGTCGGGCGAGGGCGAACTGGGCAGTGTCGATGGCTCCCCGCTTCCTAGTCCAGGGGCCAGTACCAGGTCTTTGGCTCAGCCTTTTGGCGTCAACGCTGGGCCAAGTTTTGGGTTGGAGGATATGGTAGAGCAGCTCAGCCCCAGCCATGCCTTTCAAACGCGCCACCAGCTTCCGCGCACACCAACCGCACCCACGCCGCCGCTCTCTACTCCCGCCGAGCCTGCAGCGAGACCAACGGCGGTAGCTCGGCAGCCCAGTGCCCCACTTGAAACAGAGTCCGATCTTGTTGAAGCAGCTTGGACCCCGAGCAAGCACGCCGTCGCTGCCCACCCTCGTGATCCGGCGCGAGCGCGTTTGCCGACGTCAGCCAAGCGCAGCCAAGCGCGCCCTGGTGTGCGGCGGATTGCAACGAGTTTGGACCGCTCAGCCCGCGAAGCAAATGATGGAACGGGTCGTTTTGTGGCAGTAACGCCTTCTGCACCCGAAGAAGAAAGCCGTGCTCGAGCGCTGACGCCATCAGCGCCTGACGAGCAAATAGGCACCGACGCCGTGGGTGACTGGCTCGATCAGGAAGCTGACAGTTTGTACTCCGATATCTCCGTCACGTTGGATACGGCGCCCGCTGCGGCTGGAGCAAGCGGATTGGATTACATGCCTGGAACCGCATCACCTGGTGTGGCTCGCGGCGCACCTGATGTGGCTCGCGGCGCACCTTCGCCCTTGGAGCTGCCACTGGATCTGAGCTTGGGACATGAATCACCGGTACACGAGGATGAGTGGGCGTCGCCGGCGGGTTCCCTGGCAGCATCACAGTACGTGCCGACCACCTCCACCGCCACCGCCGCTCTTTCTTCCTTGTTCTCTTTCCTGTTTTTTTTTTTTTCTCCTGTGCCATCCGCTTCCTTGCTAGCTTCTTGCTTTCGGTGGCTCTCAAACTTTTGCTATTTCGCCGCTTTGTGTTGACGATTTCATAGACCGGAGCGACTCCTCCTTCCCTCTTCACCGCAGCGGGTATTTTCAAAGGGCTACGCGCCGCCGTCGGGCGAGTCCCTCCCGACCTCACCGATTCAGCGACGCACCTCAAGCACAGCCCCATCGCCCGTGCGGACACAACCGACCACGCACACTCCGCAACAGAGCCTGGGCGTGCTGGCATCTGCGACTGCGAGTCCTCGAGACCAAGGTAGCATGATCGGAGGCCTCTTGCTCCATGGCAGGCGCCATCGGTGGGCGCTCCCCAGTCTTGGAAAGAGATGGCTCACTCACACGGCCCTATCGTTGTCGTGCCTTTGAACTACCTTCCTTAGAGTTGGAGAGTATCCGTGATCGCCTGGCCCGCCTGCGCCAGCGCACACTGCACAACCAGACGTGAGAACGAAAATGATGACAATTCATCTTGTGTTCCGAAGCGAAGAAATTGCATCATAGTCAGGGACCATTTGTCAGCCTTTTTTCATGATGCGCTAGCAGCTTCCAAAGCGCTAGCAGCTTCCAAAGGGTCCTGTGACGTGTTTTCCTTTGCGCAAGGAGGGAAGCCTTTGCACAAGCCTTGCACAAATTACATCGCGCGTCACTGGGTCCCTTGGCAATACACACGTACCGCTGGCCCAACACGACCCCAACACATAACTTTTCCCTAACACATCAATAGACTCTCTCACACACACACACACACACACACACACACACACACACACACACACACACACACACACACACACACGGGACGCCCGAGCTGTTTTGATGGGCCATCACACACACACACACACACACACACGGGGCAGGGCGAGCTGTGGTGGCTGTAGCTGTGGACGCTTGACGTTTGACGCGGGCGGGCGGGCCAGTGGCATTTTACTATCATCTCGTGTTCGTGAACGATCATAGACACAGACGAAACCTGCTACGACTGGCCTGACAAGCGCTCGGACTCGACGCCCGACTGCCCTTTTTTTTGGCTGCTGCATCACCTCACCTGTCCACCATGACGAAGACGTACCGCACGCAAGGCTTCAAGCCCTCCCAGATCAAGCAACAAGCTGGCGCCAAGGCGCACGCTGGCAAGGACCACCACTCGGGTGTCTCCTCCGACTCAAAGAAGCACGGCAGTGGCGCTCACAACTGGGGCAGCGCCAGTGACGATATCAAGCAAGGCCTCGAGGAATACCACAGCCCTGCGCCCGCCGCTGCCGCCCACTAAGCGCGCTTTGTGTTGTTCTTTTAAACGTGACATGACTGTGATTGACTGCCCATCCCACCTCCCCCTTTGTTTATGTATCTTGGGGACTTGAGTGACCCCTTGCTGTGCCTTCTCTTTTCCCTTGCCCGCTACCACAGTGGCTGAACGCAGTGCGATTCCCTAACCCTGCTTGGTCAGCAAAGCTTGTGGCCCGAGAAGCTTTTATGAGAATGAATTGATACCCCAATTTTGTGATAATAATTATGATGAGCAAGCCTGACACAATCATGCTTTAGCAAGATCTTGGGAATTCCACAGCTTTTTTTTTTTTGTTTTGGTTTGGTTTGGTTCACAAGCAAATCAAAGCGAGTCCGCCTGAAGCTTTGAAAGCACCCCACACAGACACTCGACAGGGCATTTTCGCAGCACCATTGTCGCTCGAGGGCAGGGCGAGGTAGCCCAAGCCTGGAAAACAGCATCATGAACAGGAATCAACAACGCGTAGATGCCATGTTCAGCGACATTGAAATGCACGACGATTTCCACCGAGCGGAGGCGTTTGAGCAGTTGCTCAATTGTGTGGCACAGATATCGGATCAAGTTGATACTCTGCCCGGTTCACTGTCATCTCAAGAGAAAAGAGACGCCAAAAACTTCATTCAATGTCTTAAAACCTTTTTAGAAGCACGGCGTGGACCTGCTGCAGATGAAGATTTCGAAGTCATCGACCTGGATCCTGACCTGGATGGTGACGGTGATGATGATGGTGATGGTGACGGTGACAGTGATAGTGACAGTGATGACAGTCTTGGGCCACCAAAGTGCTTGAAACAAACACAGAATACCTTGCTTTTCTCAGGTGAGGTCGGCGAGCCCACCATGTTTCTTTCGACTCGATACCCGCTTTTCTCATACTCGCACGCCACAGGCCTTGGGCAAAACTACGAGGACTGCCATCCTCGTCACGTCCAGTCTGCTGGTAAATCTTTGCATCACCCGATTCGGCTCGCTTAGGCGTCCTTACCGATCCTACATTTTTCTCACTCGAGTCAATCCTCCTTTCAACCTCGTTGCACTGCAGACGATAACGATGCTGGATGGTACCGCGTCTTGGAGCACGTTAAATACAGCGCAAGTGGGTCGGCAACCTTGGGATCCCCCTTGAAGGATAGCGAGGTGGCCGAAGTTCGGGTTGTCGTCGGCAAGCGCTTGGAGGAGCTGATCGAGATCTTGACAAACAAGGAGCAGAACTTCTGGAAAGGCGCTGCCCCCTTGACCACCATGCGCATCCTTGCTGAACCAATTGCCGATGAAGCGATTACTGAGCGCTACATTTCGGGCCTTAGCCAGGTGGCGGCGCTAGTACAGCGCCACATCCAGGGCTTTGTCAGTGCGTTGCGTGCAGCCGAGTATCACGAGGCAGCACGTCAAATGCAGCTGCTGCAAAAGTTGTCTTGTTTCAATTCGGAGTTGCAGCAGCCATCAGTGGCCGAACACGAGCTTTGGGAGCTTGGCAGTATTTGCCCAGAGCTCCAAGATTTGTCGACACAGTCGTGGGATCATTCTCGACTGCTACAGACTTTGAAGGGGATGGCACGCGCCGTTGGAGAGGCTTTGCATGATCGCATCCGCAAGGCCAATGAGAAACTCCCATTTGATGCCGACGTCCTACCAGAGGTGCCGCAACTGATCCAGTTTGATTCTTGCTTGGCATCGATGTGCCAAGTCAAGCAGCTTTGGTCGCCCTTGGCCAAGCAGTTGCGCGAACACGCCCAAGAGGCGCAGCGCACGCTTGGCACCGTGGTTGCCGCTCTAAAAGAGAGCACGCAACAAGCTGGTTTGTTTGATTATAATCAATGGCCGGCTTTGCACCAGGCGCTCGACCTGCATGAACGCGGTTGTGCCTATAGCTCTGTCTCGGAGCTCGAGGTCGTGCAAACCATGTTTGAGAACGACAAGCAAGCGCTCAACGCTGCGGTCGAGATCATGTGCAAGGTGATCCAGACCATCAGCGACCTGATTGCCGATTGCAGTGCAGATGAGGCTACAGTCCAGCGACTCGGGCGTACTCTAAATTTGTTGCAAGGGCTAGAAGAAAATTTTGCTTCCAAGTATTTGCCGCCCGGCCAGGCGCCGTACTTTCAGAGCCAAAAGGCCACATTTGAAGGCGCCATTCGGACCGGCGTTGGACGCCCCATTAATGATGCAATGGCCAAAAACAATTTGTCGGCGGCCGAAAAGAGTCTCCAGCAGCTTTCGCTGCTTGTCGCAGTGTTTCGACGCAATAGCGCGGTGCGGGATGTGCAGAATCAAGCGCGCACACTCCTCAGCCAGCTGGCCGCTCTGCACACGGAGAGCAACATAATCCTTGACAAAATCGTCGAGGGCCAAGCAAGTCAAGATGCTTTCGAGGCTATGGCTCGCGCCACGCAGAAGCTCGTCTCATATCGCTGCCTTGACCCCATCATCGTGGATGGTCGGATACTGCAAGAGCCTTCAGAGCTTTTTGAAGCACATGAAGACAACGCGACTGTACAAATGGTCACCGTGCTTCAAGTTGCCACGACCGAGTCTGTGCTGCGACGCACAGAACAGGCGCTGCGCGAGAGCCTTGGCAGCCTCGTTTCTTCGGTGTGCGAGTCGATTTCAACCAAGGATCCAATCAATGACTTTGAGGTGCAATATCTCTGCCGCTTTCATCCTCTACAAGACACGCTGGGGCCTGAGCACGTTGAACTCGAGTGTCGTCGCCTCACAACAGCGGTGGACGAGGTTGACAAAACATTGCAGGCCTTTGAAGTTGTCAAGGCTCCGTCCACAACGCGGGAGAACGACATGGCCTGGCTGGTCCGCACCATTGCCTTTGCAGAGCACATCCGCTCCAATTGTCCCTTGTTTCAGTCTCAGGATTGGTCGTCTCTGCGTACGAGTCTAGAGGTCAGGCGCACCGATCTCATGAACCAAGTTCAAGCTCATGCGCAAACTCTGCTTGACGCAGTCCGAAGTGCAACGGCTACTGGGGACCTCGGGCAAACACGAGCTGAGCTGGCCTACCTCCAAGGCCTCAATGACAGTTGTAACCCCGACATGCAGAAGCTTGGGCAGCCCGTGTATGCGCAAGCAAAGGATGCTGTGAACCGAAAGTTGGAGCAGCTCGTTTTGGAACACCGCCAGAACCAAAGTAGTGGCAATCTCGCGAGTGCTCAAGAGACCAAACAAGCGCTGTTGGGCGCCAGCGTACTGCAGGAGCACTTTTCTGGCATTGATCAGCTATTAGCCCACTTGCATGACGATGACGACCGCGCTTTGAAGGAGATCAGGTCCCAGTTTGACGCGTATCTAGAGGAGGCAAACTATGAGTGTGCTGAGCAACTTCTCACCGAGCTCGCTGCAACACATGAAACGCCTGAATGGGCTGCATGCCACCGATCTCTTGTGCAATCTGCGGTGCGTCAGCTGCGCCAACGACCAGGGACATACTGAAGCAAGCACGGCGCATGGAGCGGCAGGTTTTGCAATCGCAGAGCCATGGCGACAAGCTGCAAGGCACCTTGCTGGAGATGGATGAGTTGGACGAGAAACTGTCCAGGCTGCAGGTGCTTGCGCCGGTCCTTCCTGATCTTCAGCTACACGACGTGGAGGCTGAATTTTCCAAGAGTATCCGCAGCATTTACAAGCGTCTACACCAGCGCTTGTGGAAAGCAACCACGACAAACCAGTTTGCTACAGCCGAGGTCTTGTATGCACTGCTCATTTCTTGGAGGAGTCGCGAACGCGATGACGTATTTGACGCCAGCCGGCTGATTCACGATAGCTCTCTGGACGCAAACAACGATGCTGCCAACGAAATGCCAGCTGAACCCAAAGGCAACTTGGCAGAAGTTGAAGTATACGCCAGAGAGATTGACACGACCATACGTCAGCAAGTAGAGCAGCTTGTGCAAGCCCGTGCCGGCCCCAAACTGAGTCGATTTGTCAAGGCTGTTGAGCGTATTCGCGCACAAGAGTACGACCCTGACAACACGCTCTTTCCAAACTTGCTGGCTTTGGCCGATGATGTCAACCAGTGGGTGGAGCAAGCTGCCGCCAAGGAACTTGACGAGATTGAAACGACCCTCTTTGAACTAGGCCCAAGCTTGGCCCGCGCGAAGCTGTGTGGGTTTGATGATTTCTTCTACAACCCTCTGCAGGGGGACGAGTTGCCGCCTTTCAAATCTTCGGAGAGCCCTTTGAGTGTACAGCGAAATGAGGTGCATGATGCTATACAACAAGCCCAGGATGCAGAGGATCTAGAATTGCTGACACCAGAATCCGCTCGAAACTTGGCACAAACTTTTGCCAAAGATGGTGTTCACGAGAGGCCAAATTTCGTCTCGAAGCTGCGTAACATCTGCCAGCGCGGCGTCCAAGAGCTGCAAACCCGCCAGGCTGAAGCGCTGAGGGACAAAAGGACTGGCACGTTGTTCACAGCAGCAGCTGTTGGGCGTGTTTTGGGCTTATTGGCGTTGGAGACAGAGCTCAAAGACAAGGGCTTAGATTCTTTCCTGATGACCCTTCAAACCTGTTACATCGTGCCAGCCTGCGATGCCATTGTCAAACGGGCAGATGATGATCTGAACTGTTTCATTGACATGGCGAGAGCTTTTGACGTTCAGGGCGTCGAGCGACTGTTTGCCATCTTTGACGGGAATATGAAGCGATTGGAGGAGTCGCAGAGCTTTGATATGACCTTGCTTCAAGACGCTAAGCAGAGTTTCGCACAACTCAAAGGAGATGTTTCTGCGGAGACGAGTGGCGCGCAGTTGGGGGCAGAGGATGTTGATCAGCCATCACTGAACGACATTTTGACCCCGAACTTTGAAGCTGAAAAGCTGGACCGACGCTTGGAAAGGCTGAAATACCTGGCTAGCTCGCAAGCTGAAGCGCAGCAACGCAGCCAGAACTTCTTTGGAGCCAGGAGCTCGTTTGACCCTGCCAGAACGCTGACTGCCATTGTCGCCCATTGGCGTAGCCTCACGCAAGACCTGGTTCGAGTGTTTAAGCAGCGCTTATCTGCACATGACCAGGTTGACGAGATTGCGGCATGCTATGCATGGATTGGCCAGCTCAAGGTGGTTGCCGACGCGGATTTGGTGAGAGATTTTGCGGATGCCAGGCGCCGCCTCGATAATTCTCTGCTCAACTTTGCTCGCCAGGCCGTGACCAGCGTGCTAGCATGTGCTAAAACCAAGGATTGGCAGCCCATGAATGCCCTTTTGCGCTTTTCCTTCGACCTTGACGGCGCTTTTCTACAACAAGCCAAGGCCCAATTGCCTGCGCCTGCGCTCTCGATGGCGTCGGAGCAAGTCAAAGCCTTGCTGCAGCTTGTCCAAGAAGCTGACAAAGTGGGCAATAAGAACCTGGCGAGCCTGGCAACCTGCTTGGCTTGTATGCAAGAACTCGCGTCCAATTGTATCTCGGACGAAGTTCAGGCTGAGGTCCAACGTCGAACAAAGGAGCGCCTTGACCAGGTGCAGACTACTGGACCTGATGATACCGCAGACCTAGACCTAGGAGATGCGCTGTCAGCAGCAGGCGAGTACGGTGAGGAGGTGAAGCGAGACTATAAGCGCTTTGCAGCAGCCCTCATCCGTCAGCGCCAGGAGGCAACTCGAAGCATGACACTTGACGTTGCGCTGAATAAAATGCAGCTTGGCACGAATGCCATTTCGACAAAACATGCTGACCAATTGCGAGAGGCGTACAATCGGTATCAGGCCAAGTTTGAATATCTGATCCGCAAGCCACCATCTGCCATTCCAGATTTGGTGCATGCGGCACAACAGCATGGCCGTAAGCTGGCACGGGATGCCAGCGCGCTCAAGCGTGAGCTACCCGTCCTGTTGGCGTATCTGTCTGCCATTTGGAGCCTCTCCAGTCGTGCAACAATTGCAAAAACAACCAAATCCAGTCACGGCATCTATAAGGAGCTGCATGTCATCCAAATTCTGGCCCTGTTCGAGCTTGTCGGGCTGAGCCAGTCCAAGGGGTGGATTGCTGGCCTTGGTGCCTGGTGCAAGAGCTTCGTGCCAAATGCAGCCAAGTCCAAGCTTGGAGGTGCCTTTGTACAGCTGCAAACGGGTGGAGGCAAGCGTATTCTGCTGGGGTTTGCTAGCGTCATCTACAGCCTCCTGGGCTTTGATGTGGCCTGTGCCTGTTACAGCGCCATCCTCAGTACTCGCGACTATGAAGACTTTAAGGCCTTTTTTGAGCTGTTAGCTGTGAGCAAACACATTCAATACAGCACCTTGACAGATTTGGCACGGGAGGCGCTCAATACCTCTGGTGACATCCGGGATGCTCTCCAAACCTTGATTGTGACGGGCAAGCTGTCCGACGGCAAGCCTCAGAGCCACACAAGGCCGACAATTCTTTTGGTCGACGAAGTGGACACTCTGCTGTCGCCCGTTTTCTTGACGGAGCCCTACAACCCAGGCACGCTTGTTCACGACAAGGACTTTACCGCACTCATGCGAGCAGTGTGGAGCAATAAAACGCTCACAGCTCAGCAGGTTCAGCAGCTACCCGAAGCCCAGACCTTGCTACAGAGATATGTCCACGCGAAGAATCTGATGCCGACCATCTTCAACCTCGTAGTGGCAGGTCGGGCTGCGATTGAGAAGAACCAGCACCCACACAGCGTTGACGATCAAGGGCGGATTGTGTACAAGCGGCAGGGTCTGGATGAAAACAGCGCTGATGTGGTGTACGGCTACGAGACGCAGTTTGCCTACCTGATGGAAGAAGGCCGTGGGCGCGTGCCGCCCGAAGTCTGCGCCGATCACATTGGCATGCTATTTACGGCAGGGCACTTTAGTTTCGTGAAGATTATTCAAAGCTTTGATATGATTTCTGGCGTGACTGGCACGATGCCTGAAGACACGACTCTCTTGAACGACCGCTTCAATATTGAGCGCCAATGCGTCATGCCCTCCATGTATGGCGCCACGCGGCTCGTGCTTGATCCGGTGCTAATCACCGAAAACATGGCGCAGCAGCATCAAGCGATCGCCGACGAGTGTCATGTTCGCTCCTCGGGACGCGCCGTGATTGTGTTCTTCCCCAATTCGACAGCACGCGAGGCCTTCCAGGCCTCTGCTGAGTTTCAGGGCAAGCTGGGTGGGCGCGACATCAACATTATTGATGTAGGCAAGCCAGACATTCCTCATCGCATTCGGCAGGCCACGCGCCAAAACTCCATCACCTTGGCCACGGCGCCCTTTGGCCGAGGATCAGACTTTACGGTGCTTAATCGTGACATCAAGGCCAAGGGTGGTGTGCATGTCATTCAGGCCTTTCTGTCCACGGAAGTTGCCGAGCAGATTCAGATTCAGGGCCGCACGGCGCGAGAGGACAATCCTGGTAGCTACCGCCTCGTTTTGTGTTTGCCGGATCTTAAAAGTTTGCTCAAGGAGCATTACCCAGACACCATCCGATCCGGCAGCTTTTCAAAGCTGCCCATCGCGCTTGATCAGGCACGGCGGGCTGTGCACGCGGAATTCTTGAACGCGTCCTTTGCTGCACTGCGGCAGTGCGAGGCCGCCCACGTGGCCTCTCTCAAGCTGCGAGATGAGCTCTTTGCTGGCCGACAAGGTAATCCAGAGCGTGCCCTGCGATATGTTCAGCAATACTCGTCACATGCTGAGTATGCAGAGGCGGCCGACGTCTTGATGGTGGTCGACGTGTCCGGAAGCATGACCGACTACATGGAACAGGCAAGGGCGTTTGTGCGCACCATCGCGCGTGAAGGATTCCATCTAGACTCTGCTGCAAGCCAACACCGCATGGCCTTGTTTACGTTTGGCACGACGGCAACTGCGCTCGGCAGTGAGCCCTTGTTCACTTCCGACTGGGCTCAGCTGCAACAGCGCGTGGCTCAGATTGCCGTCAATGGCGCGACCAACTACTTGCCAGCTCTGGAGTTGGTTGAGCAGAGCTTGCGGGATTTGAAGGCAAGCGATCCGGCTCGCTACAACGCCTCAAGACGCATCGTTTTGTTTCAGACGGACGGCAGCAACAGTGATCGGAATCAAACTCGGGCTATTACTGCGACGGCACGGCGCATCGTGGACGAACTTGATGCCACATTGATGGCTGTACTCACGGGTGCGGGCGTGTCTTCCTCAAACGTGTCGTACTATGTTGGGCGCTCCAGACAGTTTGACAGCCAAGATCGCACGGATGGCGCTGCACTTAGCAAGCTCATCCTGACTGTGGACGACTACGATGCTTTGGTTCAGCGTGCAAGCGACATTGCTGCCTGCGCGATATCAGTGTGAAAGGTTCAAGTGCGGTTACAGCTGTTGACGACTGCCCATTCTTGCGCAGTCGGGAACGCGAGTCAAGGCAGCTGTGAGCCCAGCGCATCACCACCTTGTTGTATAAATTGTTGTGCATTGTCATGATAAGCTGACCCGTGTTTCTGTCCATAATTGATCGAGCATTGATATTCCGGTGAGCCACATGCGAACTGCGACGATGCCAACACGCAGGCGGATGGATTGCTGCACAGTGCCACTTGCCGCTTTCAGTTATCCCTAAGCCTACCCTTCTCTCCTTCGGGCCAGTCACCCAATCACAACTTCCTTACCCATCAGCCAGTGACCTACGCTGCCATTTGACCATAAGAACCGACAGAGAATTCAACAAACCATTGGATATCAGATTCCAGGTCTTTTTTGTAACGGTCGCAACACACACACTCTCTTTCTTTTCTCTTTTTCTCTTTCTCTTTCTCTTTCTCTTTCTCTTTCTCTCTCTCTCTCTCTCTCTCTCTCTCTCTCTCTCTCTCTCTCTCTCTTTCTCTCCCTCTCTCTCAAACTCTCTCTCAAACTCTCTCTCAAACTCTCTCGCTCTCTCTCTCTCTCTCTCTCTCTCTCTCTCTCTCTCTCTCTCTCTCTCTCTCTCTCTCTCTCTCTCTCTCTCTCTCTCTCTCTCTCTCTCTCTCTCTCTCTCTCTCTCTCTCTCACACACACACTCTCTCGCTCTCTCTCTCTCTCACACACACACTCTCTCGCTCTCTCTCTCTCTCTCACTCTCTCTCCGCCTGCCTTCATTCACATGACCTCACCTGGCTGCTCGACTTGGACGGCAAGCAAGAACGGGGGTTGGTCGGTACCAAATCGATGGCAGGGGGTACGCGAGGGGCTTGCCCCCATTGTGGGCGCTCTGTGCGACCTTCCAGCTTGAGCGCCCACGTCACCAATTGCCATGCCAAAGCCGAGGTGTGTACGACGTGCAGCTAGGATTGAGCCTGCATGCCGGTCATCAGGAGCGTGGGATGCTCACGGCACCGTGCCGGATCACCCTTGCCTTGTGTAAATAAACGTGTACCGCAGGCTAAAGCGCGTTCGGGCACAACACGGCGGTTCCCCATGACTTTTTCGCAAGCCACCCGAGCGCTCATGACCTTGCGCGATATTCACGCCTTTCGCACATATTTGACCCGTGAGTCTTTGGCAAGCGCCCATGCTCGTGGCCAGTGTCTTTTGCTTTTGCTTGCGTTCCAGGGCCAATTGACGAGCATGCTCTGGAGTGTCGCTGCTCCTCATTGTATGTATTCCACCTGTCCTACTCTGGCGGATCAGGACACACGTCGCAGGCGCCGGACGAGCCAGCCGCAGCACCTGCTGCAGTACCTGCCGCAGAACTTGAGCAGCTTCGTCAACACATTCAGCACCAAGCGCGCTTTGCGCTCACCAAGCGGTCCGTGTCTCGAGCCAGATATCACCTTTGAAGCCTCCTTGCACTCATCTTCGGAATCGCCACGGAAAAACATGTGCACCTGCTGTCTGACTCTTGCTTCATGGCCCACCTTGCTGCAACACACCCCAGGCGACAAAGGTATTCCTTGTTAGGCATTCGACACCTTGGCCCGATACTGGACGATGTCGAAGCAGCTGCCATGGCAGACTCTGCGATAGCAGACGAGCGCAAGCGAGGGCAAAACTACATCAGCGACCGGCGAGCTGCACGGCGCAAACTGACCCCGCGCTTCATGTTGGTTCAAGATGCCGAACTGGATCAGGACATGACCTCTCTGGGTATCGCGGGGGCCTCAAGTGTCAAGCACAATGCTTGAGCTGTTGCGCACCGTCTTGCACAACAAGTCATCCCCCTGTCGGGCTGCTGTCTGTCTCGGCTACCCACCTGGATGATGGAAGTAGCTTCAAATCACTTGACTTTGGGGGTGGGGGGGTCACGGACTACAACTTTGCTTTCCAAAGCCATGCGTCTCAACTGACTCAAGAACTAGACGGCATGTATCGTTCCGCCCCATTGTCGTGGCTCAGAAATTTATCAATCGATCAATAGGGTAAAGATGAATTATTGATTTTAAACATGCATGCAATAACTTTTTTATTCTTGTTTCGAATCATCGGGTTGAGCCTGGTAGGCCACGAACGAACATTTCGAAGAGTGTCGGGATGTGGTTAAGATACCCAAAGGCAGCATGAATGGGAAGCTTGGCTACTCGCGATCCATGCGAAACATGGGCTCGTCCTCCTGAAAGGCATCTTGAAGATTCTCGAGTGAGACAATAGAGTGCACCCGCGGCACAGCCGCATCGGCATCGGCTATTCGAACATGACGCAAGCCGCATGCCCTGATGAGTGCTAGCATAAAAGGACGGCATTTGGGATCGCACTGCCTTTCTCTAGCAACCTTACCATCACCCAGCAACACGCCCAGACCGCTGGTTGGCGAGGTGCTTAGACCCTCTGTGCAGAAATAAACCATCAAAGGCAATCGATGGCATCGGGTGTGAGCTCGAGGGACAGACAACCCACCACTGCCACAGACAGGCCTGATAGGAATTTTGCATGAAAGACAGAACATACCAGGTGAACGACTCAAGGGGCTTTCGGGTGATGTGCCCAGCCGAAACGTGGGCTGTCCCTAAGTCAGTGGAAAGCGACCAAGCCGAAATGCATGCTCAAGTGAGAATAGGGCCAGTGTGAAAACGAATCCAGAGATGAGCCTTGCCGCCTTCGAGCCTTTCCGCTTTCATCCAGCTTACATTGGGGGACGAACGTCGCACATTGATGGCTGGACTAGAGCCCTGTAAGCCCAAAAAAAGGCAGCCAGAAGGTCAGATCAGCCCGCGGGAGGTCAGATCAGCCCGCCCGAAGCGTTGTTGTCATTGCAAAAGAGGGTGGCACGGAACGTACCACGTTCATCGGAAGTGAATCCGAACTGCCACGTGAGAATGAACGCTCTCGCCCCGGAGGCGAGCCACGACCTAGGGTGTGACCAAAAGTGCACACACAGTGTGAGCCAGCAACGATACTCTGTGAGCCAGCAACGATACTCTGCGATCCACGTGAGATCTGGGTTCCCTCCCCTGCCCCATAATCGAAAGCGGATCGTCGCTGCACCCATTGATCCCACCTGGCCGGCTTGGTAGATCAGTGGGAGTAGAACTGGAGCTCAGTAGTGCACGCGGATTGGGCTTTGGCTTGGATGCAAAGTTGGGTTTGCGTCGGGCCGCGGCTGCCGTGCCCTGGCGGTGTGAGGAGGATGTCTGCATGTGTGATGAGGTCAGACTGCCCCAGCCATCGTCTCCGCGCGAATGCGCCCCCGACTCGGTGATCGCTACAATGCACAAGGCGTGTGCCCAGCAAGCGAGGTCATCAGATGAGAAAAAAGATCCTACCGATGCACCAAAAGCGCCCACACCCTGACTGCCACGCTCACGACAATACGCCATACCTGCAAGCATTTCGTTGAGGACGGATTGGTTGGGTGTGCCATAGTCTGTGTTGTCCGGTGACGTCCACGTGACCTAATCAAAAACAACGAAAAGACACCAATTAGACCTAGAGAGAATTGACCCCTCCGAGAAAAAAAAGGCTCAGCTCGGCACTGCAAGGAGGAACACACGTCTGCCATGTCGCTGTCGTTGGCAAACTGAACCTTCTCCAAAGGGGCGCGCACGAAGTTGTACTCTTGCATAAAGAGGCTGCGCTCCGGTGCGGGCGCGGGAGCAGCATCCGCGGAAGTAGACGAAGCATCCGTGGGCTTGTTGGTTGCGTAGCGCTTCAAAGCAAACTGCGGGCCCATCCAGATGCGGCGGTGCGGTGGATTGCTTGACCGCTTCTCGAGCGCACGGGTGACCGGATTGCGGTGCTTTTCCCGGAGCAAATGCTCATCGCGACCGCCGCTCATGAGCGCCACAACTTCTCCATGATAATTCTTCGCGGGCAGCACCATGGGCGTGGTGCAGCAGTCCCATTGCCGAGTGGCTACATACGAAACCTTGATGCCGTCTCTGCAAGCCAAAGGGGACAAAAAAAATGAGCAACGAACATCAGCCAACAAGCCAACAGACCGCCTCACAGCAAGCGTATAAGGGGCCATCAGAAGCTAGATAGCATGAGCCTGACCTGGGCGTGGCATCGGAGATGGTCACGTCTTGCGAAAGGTAGGAGGGGCCGAGATAGCCACGCATACCATCAACCACATGTCCCATGGTTCCAAAAAGGTTGCTAGCAAGGGAAGCCACGGCATCCGTACTGGGGGAGCTTGAGAGGGAATGCGGGTTGGAGCCCGGGGCTACCTGAACTGCCTCGCTATCTGAGGCTGCAAAGCAGCGCAGCTGAAACTCGCCCAAGCGTGCAATGCGGGAGCACGCCAGAATTGAAAATGAGTCGCCGGGCTCCGAATGGGATGAGGCCGGCGCTTGCCACGCGGGTGCCAGCTGGCGTTGTCGACTCAAGGAAGACGGCTGAAAAGCGGTCATCAAGATGGCGTGGGCGGCCCGCGCTTGCTGCATGGGCCAGAGCAAGAAAGCAACAAAGGGCCCCAGGGAGAATGAGGCCAGATATAAGGGCGTGATAAGGGACAAGCATGCGCAATGCCCCGCATGCTGCTGACAATGAACCACGAACCTTGGGTCCCCCGCTGGTCGAAGTTGCCTCGGGAACGTCCAGATCGCGCGCCATGGGCTCTGCATCGGGATCGGTCACGGCGCAACGAAGCTTGATTTTTGCTTGAATGGTCTCGGTGGCGGCGTGTCGCCCCTGCAGCTCGTGCAGGCCCGAAGAAAGAAGAAAAGGGCTAACATTGGAAACTTGTGACTTCACGTGCGTGTCTCTAGAAATGGGACCGCCACTAGAAGACAAACAAAGCAAGGCCCCGCCAGGTGAGGCGTGGCTGATTGTGCTGCGCATCGTGCAAGATTCCGCCTGTACATCCCCCTCAAGGCAAGCAATGACACGCACTTGGGATGGATGGGAAAGAGGTGAACAGTCCCACGTTGTGAAGCGACGGCAATCCAGCGGCCATCGCCAGAAAAACTCATATTCTGAATGATCGCGGGTGTGAGACCGCGGTTTAGGCGATAAATGGGGCTGGGTGCTTCAACGTCCATGGCCAAGTGGGCTAAAAGCAGGCAATGAGTGTGTGAAAGGCAAAACATCCGTGAGGCAAGGGCCGAGAGAAAGGGATAACAGGCTGAAATTCCCTTTTTTTTTTTTTTTTTTTTTTTTTTTTTTTTTTTTTTTTTTTTTTTTTTTTTTTTTTTTTTTTTTTTTTTACGCCAAGAAGAGGCGTACCCAGCTGATAAATGTAAATGTCATTTCCATGGACGTCAGAGACGGCAAGAAGAGTACCGCTCTCATCAAAACGCAATCCGTTGACTTCGCCGTAGTGGCCCTTGAAGAGAGCCAGCTGTTGGCCCGTTTTGCTGTCAACGACCTTGATCATGCCTGTCACGTCGTGGTTAGAGTCAGACTCTGTACGCGCCTGAGGGAAGTCGATGCAGGGATGGCAGGAGAGGGTGTCAGCGCTCAACAGCCTGGCCAATATGAAAAAGAGCGGCGAGAACGAATCCGACATGGGGCCCAGTAGAACAGCTAGCGGAAAAACTCACATGAGCTGGACGGGCAACCCGAGGTCCGCCATTGACCAGTTTGGACACGTGCTGCATGCCCCTGTTGCCCCACTGCATGAGACGAGAGCCAGTTTCAGCGGCCAGGTTGGCAGCCGTTTGCATGGGGGTGGGTTGCATGTCCAGTTCCGAAATGGTCAAAGGGACCTCAGTGGGACGTTCCGAGGAGGGAAAAGCCAGAAACCGGTCGCTGATGGCAAGGTGGAGATCGGTGCGCTGCGCAGACGGCGGGTGGGCTACGCAGTCGAATGTTTCCATGTGTGCAAAGTCCGTGGCCGAGTAAAGCTCGACAAAGTGTTTGGACATCTAGAGGCGAGGGGGGGGGGGGGGGGGGGAAAAAAAGGGG